CATATGACCAGTTGATATTTTTAACCCTGGGGGTCTCTCCCTGACTCCCACACAACAACGTGGGATTAAAGCTGAACTTTGTCATGTTGCTTAAAAAAGGAGGAAAACAGAATAATTGGTCAAAGGTCACCAGACCCAGTGTTGAGATTCTGTATTCTTATTTTGTGCTTTTTGTGCACTGGAGAGAAAAAAGTTTAATGGCAGTTTTTTGAACTTACTGTAGGTTGCACAAATAATTCACTCTTCATTACCTCACATGACCATCTCCGTGCAGGTGAAGCAGATGCATGAGCGACACCTTACGATCTGATTTGCACTTCTATTTATATCCTGAAGCAGAAACACAGCCCCAGACCATCACACTACCACCACCATGTTTGACTTTATGATGTTCTTTTTATAAAGCAGCATTTGTCTCTTCAGTCTACAGAATATTTTCTAAAAGCCTTGGGAATCATCAAAACATTTGATGGGTTTTTTACAAATCTGAGATGAACCTTTGTGTTCTTTTTGGTCACTAGTGATTTATTCATACTGGATCTCTCCCATGGATGTGCACTTCTCTCTTGTTGCTAAATTGTGAACACTGAACTGAGGCAAGTGAGGCCTGCAGTTCTTTAGATGTTGTTCTGGTTTCTTTGATTTGTCATTGAGTCTCTGTTGTTGTCATTGTCGTAGGATGGGCACTGCTGGGAAGCTTCACTACTTCACAAAGGTTCACAAAGTTTGGATAATGGCTGTCTCTGTGGTTCGCTGGAGTCCCAGAGCCTTATAAAAATGAAACGCTTTTTTAGATGGATTGATGTCAATGACTTTGATTCTCAGCTGTTTCTTTAGATTGTGGCATGATGCTTTTTGAGATCTTTTACCTGCTTCACTTTGTCAGAAAGATTCTGTTTAAGTGGCTTTAATTAGGCTTCAGTGTGGCTAATGAAATTAAAGTCAGCTTTCAAACAAACATGCATAATCACAGTTAATTGTGGGAAATTTGTTTTTCACACAAGGCTGACGATGCACTGAATTGTGACAAATATGCAAAAACCTAAGAAATCAAGGAGGTGGTAACTACTTTTTCATGACACCCTGTCTTATTGTAAAGCTCAGCCAGAATTGATCTTTTCAACTATAAAACCAGGCATAAAATCATAAAAGACACCAGAGAACCGGCAAACTTATTGTCTCAACAGCTGCAGACAGCCCAGGAATTTCCATTTAAAACAAGTACAAAACCAGCTTTGAGGTGGCTTTCACAGGTCATGTGTTAACATCAGCTGAAGAGCTGTAACCCAAGAGACAGAGGGAAAGGACAGAGGTGATGAGGAAAGAGAGTGTGAAGAAGAAACAGAGAGAGACAAGATGTTTGGTTAGAAAAACACCTGCTATGTGGGGGAACTTAGCTCATCTATAAATGAAGACCTGAACTGTATCACTTTCTTTTCGCATCCGTGTAGCTCAGGGCTGTTTGCAGGCACCAACTGCTCTTTATTAACACCATTCCTGATGGTGTGAAAGTGTTTATTTGCACTGAAATTAAAGTGACTGAGTGAATCAGTGATGGACTCATTGATTGTTAATTATTTAAATGTTGTTTTTCTTCTCTCCATTTTTATGTTTTGTATTCATTTATTTATTTGTTTATGTATTTTGCATATCCCATACTTGCAGTAACAGATGCTGACTAAGTTTAATTAGGTTAAGTGTTTTAAAAAGTTTCCATTATTGAGTAGTTTTAGCTACTATGACCACTGTCTGCTGTAGAAAACACTATTTTTTTATTTAACTTCATATTATCTGTTGCTATAACTAGTCTGCTATTTAAAATGTATACAAGCACATTAATTTTAGCTAGACATTTGAACTAATGGCAGAAGTTATTTCACTCATTTATTCATTTGCTTTAACCAAGAACATCACAAATCTGTTATCTTTTTATATAATATATAAATATATAAAAATATATATAAGAAAAAAGACTTAAAGACTTTAAAACAGTAGTAATTAATAGAAACTAAAATTCCCAGAGATTTAAACGGAAACTCCCAGGAATTTCAATGTAGTTTATTCTGAAATACATACCAGAAAGTGCACTGGGATAAGGTGGTACTAATTTGGGTTTTTACAGGAAGGAAGAAACATTTTGATTGTAATTTTGGGTAGCAAGTAACTTCAGGTATTTTACAGTAAAGAAGAAATAAACTACACTGTATGTGACTTCAAGTAGTGAGTATCTTTAGTTATTTTAGCTGAAAAACTAGCAACAACATTAAATATATAACTATGCAGATTATGGAGTGACTTCGAGTGTTTGACCAGTCACCAGGGTAAAACATATGACAGTCAACAGTTCAAATGTTGTGGTTCACATTAATTAGGTGGTTAATATATGCCCAGCTAATTCTTGCTGGTGCCTCATTGGTCGATATGTAAGTATGTTGAATCTGATGTTGTATATCATTGGTTGTCTTTGGTTGGTTGCCTAAGCCACTTCATAATATGGCCCTTTCCCTAAAACATGCAGAATATTACTTTATTTTTCTGCTTAAAAAAACTGAATTACCTGCTAATTACCTGGTAATTAAAATCATCCATCCATCCATCCATGCTTGTAGGACTTTAAATTACTTACAGTATAAATTTTGCTTTTTTCAAACTTTGTAGAAAAACAAAAAATTTGAGAAAAAAATATTGAAATTTTCTAAGCCACAGCCCGATCAGGTTTTCAGTAGGAGACATCACAGCTAGAGAGTAAGAAGTAAGGCTGTTATTCTAAGCAAAGACAGGTTTTCTCACGATTCAAGTTTCTCAGAGAGCAATAACTGGCGCTCTCTGCAGAGCCGCAGCAGACAAAAAGACAGCACATCGAGCTTTGTTCACAGAGACATAGAAAAGTACCTTCCACAATGAAGATGAGACACCAACCAGAAAAAAGCAGTCAAAGGAAGGCTGCCTCAAAGTAGTCTCTAAAGACAAGTAGTGATTTCTAAGTTTCCCTTTAAATGGAGTTTAAAGTTTTCAGTGGGCTGTGATATGCCAACATTTCACAGCGGATGACTGGGGGAATAACTAATGAAGCATACAGCATGAGATATTGCTGCGTATTGTGAAATCAATCCTGTGGGGTTCAGTCATCTGCAATGGATCAAATTCACCAAGAAGCTCTACTTCATTATTTAGAAACTTCCAGCAACCTCTGGTTTCTGTCCTTATGCAGTTTATGATGCTAAACACATCTCAAAGGATTTATACATTTTCCAGAGGTCTGGAAGATAACTTCAGAAGTTCAGCGTCTCTTATTTAATAAATCTAGGATAAATTATGGTTCAGTTTAAGCCTCTTCTGGGGTGTAGGGAGATGCTACTTTAACACAGTACTGGGTCTCACTTTAAAACATTCTGGGAGAAAAGCCCTCCACCACATTCCTCATGAAGTTATTCCAAATAGTTACAAAAAATACGCAAATTTTTTTACCAAAGCCCAAAAAAGCCTGCAGAGATTTTTCATCATTATAATTCTGTTAAATTATAAATGAGTCAGAATGATGAGCACTAATTCTAACTTGTATTTCACTGCACAGAATGAGTTGTTCTCAATTTAGGGAGAGGACCACTTGCTGAAGAGCAAAACTGGATTTAATAAGCCAAGACATTATGTCGATAACCGCAACACCGTGTGTGTATGTATATAAAAAATATAAACATGGACAGTCTTGAGTCAGAATCAGACTGTATGGCTCACAATCTGGTTTTAGCCACTGATGGAGATTTTTTTTTTTTTAAGCAACGCTGCCCTCTTGTGTTAAGGTAAACCTTATTTCCAAATTGTTGCATACCGAATATAATCTGGAGAAAGACAGGCCCAGAAGAGGACAAGAGGAAAGTTAATAGTGTAGTAAACATCCTGAATATAAAAGCATGAATAAAGTTACTGTTTTTCAATAATTTAATTAGTTGTGAATAAATAACGGAGTCTTCGGGAGATAACAACTTTCAAAAAAAGAAAATCTTTGAATAAAATAACTCCAGTACACCACATTGTTCAGATATATTTATTCAATGTAAACTCTTGGAAAGGCAGGGATGAATGAATACAGAAACCAAGCAGTGAAGCAAGTAGCTGCATGTGGTTGAAAATGAGCATCTAGAGAAAATTATTACACCTTTTGTAACCAGGAGAGATCAGCGAGTCCTCGATTTTGGGGACTTTACAAGCAATGAGGAGAAGCTGTGAAGACGTTGGGCTACAATAATTCTTAAAACACTGAACTGTCATCAAAAAGTTTGAAGCATGCAAACTTTATGACAAGTACTTGCATACATACAGATAAAATGTAAAGTGACCAACATAGGAAGACATGAGAGAGCGCAGCAGACCTTTCGTTTCACACATTCACTTCCACTGATATAATCTTGATCCGCTCAGGTAGCAACAAAAAATAAAAAAAATAAAGCAAACATTTAAAAAATAAAATTAAAAAAAATAATGTGCATCCAGGCATTTGGCCATTAAAGGAAATCCTCATTTCTGCCAGGTGATAATGATGAAAGATTGTGCTGTTAATAGCTCTGCAGTCAGTGCTGAAATGTGACTCAAAAGTGGCCTTTTAGACACAAATAAATCAAACGTACACATAGTCTACGCTATATACAGTATTTACATCTTCTTCTAAAGAATTACTTGCATATGGTACACATCACAAGCCTTATCGTACTGAAAGTGACACTAAATTGTTCATCATATCAGCAAGCAACCAAAAAAAAATAGCTTTTTACGTAACTCAGTATGACTAATCAACCTTGTTTCTTTTCATATAAATATATTATCTTTATTTGCACAGGACAGATTGAGCAAATTAGCATTTGGTAGAAAATTAAATATTTCTTTGTATCGTCCCCAAAGAGAAACAGAAATGAAAATGCAAAAAAACAAAACCTAAATGTTTGCTTATTTGCACATAAATCTTTTTTTTTTTTTTTTTTTTTTTTTTTTTTTTTCTCTCTCTCTAAACGGGGCTTATTAAACAACAGAATTATGAGTGATTTTCCATAAAGTTAATTCAATGAAAACAGGAAAATCAAAACTTCCGACTGGTCAAATTAGCTTTTATGTACCCCGGGTAGTGAGGGCTGGACTGAATGCTGAAGGATCACCGCGTTTTGAGCAGCACTCTGTACATGGCGAATCCCAGCACTGCAAACACTGTGGCTCCAACGCTCGCTCTCAGCCAGAAGGTCGAGCTCTTCAGGTCCGCTTGGCTAACGTGTCTGTTAAATAGAGGGATGCAGAGTGTAGAGACATATGTAAAGAGTTAAAAAACAAAAAAAACAACTGATTTTCCGTATCATACAACCCTGTTTTCACTTGGCTTTAAAATTCATTTTTGTGCGACTGGGCTAAAACAGCTAAGATGTAGTTACATTTGTCGCCATCATGTGTATTCATGGTGTCCGATTTAACTCACATCGTGTTACTGACTATATGACCGGTACGCCTGTGGTGGATGAGCATGGGAAAAACCACTGAGTTAAACTGATTTAAGTAGGAAACTACACTACAAAAGACATGCGGCTAAGTTTCTCCCAGACAACCCGGGCAGGTTGTTTGAGTGACTCGTGTGTTGTTGTTGGGTTATTACATCTGGATTTAACGCCGTCAACTTGTGACTGATCACCCAAGATGATGCATTTTAAAACTAAGTGTGAACAGGATCACAGATAATTCATCACTAGGATAGAAGTGACTCACAGACATCTCATCCTCTTTAACATCGAAACAAAAATTAAACTATTTCTCTTCCCCGATTAGCTCTCAACTTTCCAATAAAAGTGACAAACAGATCAAATAAGCAGTGACATTAGTTGTAAAGAAGGATCGCATAGAAATGAACATTGAGAAAATATTGATGAGCGGATGACAGAACAAGCAGAGAGCTGTGACATATTGAGACGCTGAAGCAAAAGCCAGTCAAACAGATGAGGGACTTAGAGGTTTATAGTTACGGATGCATGAGACAGCGAGACCAGAAATGAGTTGTGACAACTCTGTTAGATGAGACGGCTGAGGCACAGTGACATATGCAAAGCTGATACCAACAGAATGACAATCAGATTGAAGTCAAACACTGGGAAAAAAATTATGATGATGAAGTCTTTATAAAAAAAGAAAGCAATATCAAGATTGAGATGAAAAAATAGAATGAGCAAAATGAGGACAACTAAAAAGGACTGTAGAGGGAAAGCGAGTAAACTTAGTGGCCTTTCTATTCTTCATTACAGAACAGCAGTATAAATGCAGTATAAGAAATAAAGTATGAAAGACTGGAACTTCAACAAAATCAGATTAGACAGAAGCAAGCATCATATATGCCGTGAGAAGCATTTAAACAGATCTACAGCAACACTGAAGGCTCATGTTGCTCCAGAGGAAAGTTACTAATATTGAGCAAATCGAATATTTTCTGTACATTTGTATAGGAATGAGGATATGAGGTTTTTGCATGGATGAGTTAAGGTTCACCACCATCCTCGAATTTGGCGATTAAGAATTAACGGGAAAGAACTGGTCCCTTTGGTGCAACCAGCCGGGTCTGCTGCTGTGTTACAAATGATGATGCCACAGAAAAAAAAAGCAGCTTAAGAATGAAAACGTGAAAAACATAAAAATGATAAACGCCAACACGTCAACAAAGATAAGAGAAGTTTGTAAGAGACCTTCGGAGTACGACAGCGTAGAGTTTGGCCCTGACCATCTGCAGCAGCTCAGAGTTGAGGAAGTTCTGACACAAGCAGAATGTGCACCGGTTACAAGTGCACATGCAGCGCAGCCGGGCGTGGCTGAGGAGAGACACAGGGTACGTACACGCACACGCGCCAACAAACATACAGACAAACAGGACACATACGACAAACAAAAACAAAGTTAAAAGCTGAAAGAGGCCGCCACCATTAAAAGGCTCCAGTGTAGTTCAGATCACAAGAGAAGCAGCTTGATAAAAGGCTAAATGTTTCTCCTTTTGAGAGAAAAAGAAAATGTTACCTAATATGCTGATCTTTTAAATATTATTTCTACAAAAACAAAGAAAAGAAAATTCAAGCAAATTAAAGAATTTTTAAGAAACCTGAGAAAACAGAAACAGTGATAAAAGCAAAAAAACAAATCTCAATCTACCTGAAACCGACACTAGAAAAGGCATTGGCCATGGAGGCGCCTCCAGCTTAAACACTTGAATCTCAGACAATAAAGTTGACCTCCTCAAGATTAAAGTCTCTGTGCAATCGTATAATAGCACAATGTGCAGCGAGGTGATTTACGTTGACAGTAAAGTGAAGCCTGACTGATGGCATGAGTGTGATGCTCAGGGAGAGATCACTATTACAGCTCAGCAGGAGGCCCGTGTATCCACAGTGGAAAACACAGTGGCATCAGACTAAAAGCAACATGTCCAGAGACCAGTGAAGTGCATTAATGCGTGTCGAGTGAGGCGCATGATGAAAAATACTGACACTTGCAGACAGCAGGACCATCCCCAGAGGGGACCTGGGAATATTACACAGAGTACAGCTCTGTATTTAAACTGTCAGACTAATCTTAACCATATGGGGGGGGGGAGTATTCTATGATTCATCAGATTTATTTCTACAGTTGGGTCTTAAAGGGCAGAAAATCCTCAAGGACTACAGGAAACACAATTAAAACTTTGCAAGTTGCCTCCTTTTACAGCAGCAAACGAGAACTGTGACTCAGCTACTTCATCACCTCAGACCACAACATCCTCTAAAACTTATGTTTGGAGCCAGAGCGAAGGATTTAGAGGACTATATTGTCGGTCCGCATTTCCAGACCCGAGGGAGATATAAAGAATGCTCTAAATTGTATTAAAAACCTCATCCAGCACCAACAGCTTTAATAAAAATTACCAAACATAAATAATATAGGATTTATGTAATCATTTGCAGGAAACAAGAAAACTATGAGATTACATCTGCAGTTAATAAATGCATATAAATCTTCCTCTTCTGGGTGATGATTTATACTCATCATATCCTTATATCATAGTTAAAGGGTTAACAATATATAAATAGAAAAAATAAAAACAGGATATCATGAAGAAAAACATATTTTCCACAAATCTTCTCATTCTAATTTGTCAGCTAAGCTCATCTCAGAGCTGCGAAACTAAAGCTGCACTTCAATTAAAACTCAGACAATGCCCTCCAATAACAGACAAGACAGCTAAGTGGGATAACTTCAGTTAGCACTAATAAATAATTGGATTTCTCTGAATTAAATACAATTCACTATGTTCTTAGTTACCTTTTTACCCTTTCGGGAATCTAATCTGAAAATGTGACTCGTAACAAAGTATCACATTTACAATCAGGTTGATGTTTCAAATTTCTGCATACTTACGGATACATAGCCATGGTGGTAAGTTTGGTGTAGATGTCTCTGTTGGGTGCTGAGGCTGCGTTACAAGTGAAAGACTGAGGCGGGGGCATCTTGTGCCTCCGACAGAACTCCAGAGGACTGCAGCCATACATCTGCTTGACCTCTGGCAGGTCTGACTTTGCTGCAATCATCATACATGGCGTCTTGCTGTCCATGAAGTATTGCTGAAGGAGAAAGACTCGTTAATGAATGATTATGGTTGTGGTGGTCTTTTGTTTTAAGTGGACAAACATCTGTGTTTTGGTACAATGTGAACACTAAAAACAGTTTTACCTTGAAAACCTTGGCGCAGTACTCAAAGGAGTAAGGGTTGCTGACGTCATAGACTAGGCAGACGATGTCACAGGCCAGATCAGAGTCAGACAGGTAGTCGAAGTCAGGAAACACTTCGTGAAGCTGGAGAGGTAAGGTGGTTAGAATTAAGTGGTTAAAGTGGAAATACTCTCTTTTCTAAATCTCTTAATTAAAATCCACTAAGCTAGAGGAACACAGCTGAGTTTGAACCTTAGTTCCTTTAATTTGACTTCAAGGTGGCACATCCCTAGTGGTCACAGTTGCTTAAATAGTTTGTAGAATGTGTGTGGACTTATGTTAGATGCTGAGTTTGACTCAGTTTAATGTGATCTCATTCGGCAGTGCTGCTGGCATTTTTCAATTGCTTCCTAGAATTCCAGTTTTTAAAATTTGTGTGTCTAGGAGGTGCGTTGGAGTTCATCTAGTGTTTGGAAACAGCAACTCTTGGAATGAATTTCATTTTAGGGTAAAAGTTGCAGGGACACAAATCCGTACACAGTGAGAAGTGTACAAGAAAATGTGTTTTCAGTGCATTGGTGAGGGACACACAAAGTGCTGGTTTCCCTTAGACCAGCAACTTTGTGTGTCCCTGTCTTACCCTGCTAGCCAAGTTAATGAGTGCAACCAAGTGAAAAAACAACAAAAAAACAAAAAACAAATAAAATGAGCATTCATTGTGCTCCAGATCTGATGACCAGATCACCAGAGGGCCCCATAGACCTTTGTTGTTTCTGTTTGACACAGACATTGATGTCTTGTCTCAGTGCAGGTTTGATGTCCATGATGAAATTGCAGACACACAAGTTGAGGAATTTGTACAGGGAGCGATCTAAAAATAGCAGCTGTGCTGTAAGCAGAACTAGTGCAACCCAGAAGTGCACAAGCACATGACATTACAGAGGGAAAATGGTCAAAGTCAGATAGATAGATACTTACTTTTAGTTAACTACTGTACAGTAAGTATCTAACCAGTTTAAAAACCAACCCACAGTGATGAAAACCAAAGTGATGAGAAGCACACAACCATCCAAGGACAACAGAGTGAATCACACTCATTAATTATTTGTTCTCCAGCTGCCTATAAGTGCCAAGACAAACAGGGTTGTTGTGCTTCACTATGGATGCCAGGACAGAGGGAGTGGAATCCACCCTGGAGGGTGAACCTTTTAAAGGTCCTTTAACCAGTGTCAAAACAAACAGTGCAGTCAATGTGCAAATCAATACCATTTCAACTATTGAGTTTCATCTGCTAAATGTTGCCATCTAAAAGAAGCCAGTTTGCTATGGTATTTGATATTTTGCCTACAACTTTACAACAACTGTTCCTCTGTATCCCTACAGCACATGCACTGTGCTTGCACTTTGTCAAAATAGGCACAGCAGTGCTAATGCCTTTGTTAAGCAAGTACAAATGCTGGCTTGACAAAAGCATTAGGCGAGCATGATAAGAAGCTTACATAGAGCGAGCTAAGAACAGCCAACCTCAAGCTGGGCTGGCCTTCATGGATCACAGTTGACAACCTCACGTACAAGACACAGTGGTACATGCACAGTACAAAATGTATTTGTACCGTTACTGAAGGTCAGCACATACATAATGTGTAATAAAAGTATAGGAGCTACATTAAAGTGCCCAATATGAGAAATAATTAGAGTAACTTTATGTTAAAAAAAAAAAATCTGCCTGGAAGACAGTGTCCACACTGCAAGGATAGAAGATATGTGCCGTCATGTGTTTTCATTAATGATTAAAGTAGTGTGTTTGATACTCACGAGAAGGTATTTCTCCTGGCCGTAAACATAGGTTGTATTGATGGCATAGTAGGATCTGTGCTCCTCTTTAATGGTCTTCTGGCGCTGAGAAGACAGAAGAGGATCTGGCGTTAATTAAAACATGATGTGAATGACATTTTCAAAACATGCAGCAATGCAAAAATATATATATTGACATAATCCCAAATGTACAGAGTTAAGGCATTTAAATAAACCTTTTTACTGGAACTTTTTTTTGATACTTGCTGTGTCTCAGAGTAAACACGTCAGTCAGGGTAAAGCAAAACATGTTTATGGCAAAGCCTGAAATCCAGTTCAGGCAGCCGAATCTAAGCCTCTCACATAATACACCCCACAAACATGCAAAACACCTTTCTGAATACCTCTTCAATATGTTACTGCATGCCTATGTGCACTGCTCATTCTATAGCTATTGCAATGCTGGTGTAGTGGATGGCTGAGCTGGTGCTTAGTTCTGCTTACCATGAGGTTTCTACCCAGAAAGGCTTGTAGGAAGCCACTCTTGCCACTGCCAATGTCTCCAAAAACATTACAGCGGAAGACGCTGCGCTGGGTCTGCTTCTTCTGCAGGTCAATCTTCTTATCCCTGGTCACTGCACGAAGGAAACCACATACAAACACAAGTACCAGAGGATCAGTTCAGACAGCTGCTGTGCACAGTCCAACAGAGTCAACTACACCATTTAACTGTTCTTAAAACAGTTTTGTGATTAAATGAGGATTACATGGTAGAGTTTACCTGTAATTCCTGCAGCTTGGGACTCCTGCTCAGCAATTATTGAGTAACCAAGATACCCCAAATACTCCAAACATCTTTGGACATCCAGATAAGTTGTTAACCTGAACAAAAGGCAGCTGAAGTTAAGACACATGAACTCATATACAGTAATGTAACTAATATTATTTTATATTTAAATGACAATATTAAAATCATCAGTTTATTATTTAAATAGTTCTTCGTTGTGTCCCTGAATTGTCCTGACCCATCAGGGCAAGGACACAGGACGTTCCTGTATCAGAATTTGGCTGTAGGGTTGTAAGTGCTGTGGGGTGGGACCTCTATTATTTGGGCTTTCCCTGACAGATCCTGCAGATAGCTTACTCAATTCAGATGCCACATGAAAACTTTGGACTCTTTGTTATGCTCTCTCTTGTCAGTGCTTTTTAGAGTGTGGTGAAAAGCACTGGAAGTGGGAGACCATTGCCACCGGGGAGGAACATTACTTTAGGGATATGTTTGGTTTACACTGTGTCCTTGTAAATGCCAGTTTCAAAGGTTTCTGTACAGGTGTCAGTGGTTTTATTGTTGTGGCTGATCAGTCAATCGGAGCAATCAACAAGCAGAAACAAATAAACATGGACACCAGTTTAATGCCTACTTACGTCCACTGTGAGAGATACCCCTGGTAGGTGATCCAGCCTTGGTCATTAGTGCAAACTGTGTTATTGACATCTGGCCCCCAGGGCATGTAGGGAAAAACATCAAACAAGTCCCTCAGCTCCTCTGGTGACAAGGCACAGTCACGGTCCTAACAGACACAAGGATCAGTTACTGTGTACAGCTACACCTAAATAACGAACAGGGTGCTCGTGGCAGGAATAATTTCCTGTGGGATTTTGTGGGTGAATGTACACTGAACAAACTGCTCTAGTTTGATAGACTTCAGAAAAAGAATGGCCTAAGCTGGCTGGCTGTCACTTCTACCTGAGAAAACAAACATGACAGACTGAAGGCACACATTCACAGCAGGACACTAATCACTATGAGAGAAAGCAGATCTTGACACAAGCTGTCACTTTCACTCTTTGACTCGTCTAACCTCATGGCTAATTCTCCCTGCCAATCCCTCCTCAGCTGCAAGGAGTTACATCACACCTCAGCAGGTGGTCACACTTGACTGTGGGAAAGTGCCTTCCTAAATGTCAATCAGCAACTTCTTGTTTGTGTCTCATCAGGGTGAAGGCCAACATAAATACAGAACCAGATATACAGGACTGTACCTTATCGTGTTTGTCAAAGACGCTCTGGAGGAAGAGGTAGGCATTATGGTTGAGCTCAGTAGTGCAGTCTGGGGGAATTTTCAACCTAGAGAGGGAGAAATAACATTTATTCATATTTAACACATAAAATAAATGCAAGCATATTTACAAAATGTATCAAACAAGCAAATACGGAAGGAAATGATTCAACAGAGTGCCACAAACCAACAGACGAATGGAAATATAATGAGGTGCAAGAGCAGGAGCAGATTTTAGTTGCTTAGATGTCAAAGTAAAACTCACGGAGGGAAGAGATAGTCCTGATTTAACTCCAGGTCATCATCATATCCAAATCGCCTGAGTACTGTCCAGGTTGTTTCATGGCGTCCTCGCTGAATGAACAGCGTGTGGAGAAACAAAAATCCTGGAGAGGAAAAAATAAATAGATCTCAGGAATCCCACTGTGAGGCGAGCTTGTATATACATAAGCATCAGAAATACGTCCCATCACTCCTACCTTTAAGAGTGAGGCCGTTGTCACACACGCCATCAATTAAATTCTTCCTCACCACATTTTTTACATCCTCTAACGCCTGAGGCTCCAACGGGGTGTTGAAGCACGTCCGCTATGGGCAGACAGGCAAATGTTGTTATCTGAATTAGCTCACCGTCTCCCACCGAAAGGAGGGAACAATAAAGACCGCCTGGATATTCTATTTTAACCAGTTTACCTGAAAAAAGTTGAGCTCGTTGTCGTTGAGATTACCATCGTTATCTAGGTCTGACACTTTGAAGATTCGAGTGAGAGCTTTTACACAAAGTGGCTTCATCTGAAAAATCAGGGACACACATCAAACGTTCTTTAAACAAAAGCAGGTTCTGCTAAGAGTTCAAATCCAGCCCTTAATGCAAAACAAACTCAGAACACTAAACAGCTCAAGAGTCATGTAGTGTACATTTATCCTTACATCTTTTTTCTCTGGACAGTAGAGGGGACCAGTGGGGTGGAGAACTGCCTTTTGAGCATAGTAGAAAAGCTCGGAGATGTTCTTCAGGTTCTTTGCTGAACACTATAAACAACAAGGAAGAAGAAAATGTGCACACATGTGCACACACACAGACACTCTGTTCAGTGCTGTAATGCAGTTCTGGTATCGAAGTGGTTCATTTGAAAGCCCCATTAATACGCAGTGTGAGGCTTCTTGATCTCATAAGTATTATATGCGGCACTGTGAGCAAACAGTCCAGTCAGCAAAGGGTCATCCCTGTGTGTGTGTGTGTGTATTTTGGTGACTAAGTAGTTGCCAGACAGGCTATTAACACACGTGATCTGTCTGAGCGGCGCGCCCGCTCCAATTAACAGACTGAAAAAAAACCCCACAGGTGTCAGGAGGTAGTGAACTAACTTCAACAGAAAGCAAACTTGGTAGAAACTGGTGAGGGTTTTTTGGTTTTTCATATCGAGGAGTTGAATTCGTGCTGAATTCAAAGTTCTAAACAGGTTATGGCTTAAACTCGTGACCCTTTACAGTTGTTTGACTTCCTAGATTTAAATACTTATGCAGAAATACCACTATTTTCAGGAAGAATTAAAAAAAGGGAACCAAAAGGCATCACTCACACAAATGCAACAGGCCAAATTAGGTCAGTGTTTACAAGCAAGACAACAATAGTCAATATACTGTAAGTGGCAAAGATTATCTTTAGGCTGTTATCCTCCCTAGTTTATACTTAAATATCAAGTTAGCCAATCACACTGCAGCAACTCTGTTTCTATATTAACATCCGCAAGACTTTAATTGTTTAACTGTTTAAATGACATGTCTGTTAAGATCCCTTAAAAGCAACAATGGCTAAAGTGTGGATGTCATTATTAAGAGAAAAAAATGCCGTTCTTCTTTGTTCCTGTAAAGATGGAAGTTTCTGCACAAAGGTCATTGTAATTAATTGTTATTAACTCTGTTGTGTTTCTTCCTCTTTAGGTTCAGCACAAAATAGAAGAATGTACTGATGTCCACTGTCTGAAGCAAACTATTTAAATACTTGAATCTAAGCAGATGATTGTTCTTGCAATCTGCCATTCTGTGTTTTATTGTTGAGAAATGGTGGCAGCAATAAGAGTGGTGACTGTCTCACCTCAACGCAAGTCTCTATCTCACTGTACTGATTCATAATGGGAAGTATGGTCTCCATGCTGCTGTGCTCCACCAAATCAGACTTGTTCCCCACCAGGATCAGGGGAACCCTGAAAATGTCAACACCACAAAGCAAAGTGATTAACAGACAATAACTGCTTGATATACACCAACTAGCCCCTTTATTAGGTATACCTGTTCAAATTATTTTTTAACACAAATGTCTAATCAGCCAATCACACGGCAGGAACACCATGCATTTAGACATGTGAATCTAGTTTGTGGCATTTTCCCCACACAACCATCTTTAGGGTTTACAGAGAAAACTGGCAGATCTTTGGATGAAAAGGCCTTGTTGATGCAAGAGGTCAGAGTAGAATTACCAGTGTTTCAAACATCAGCAGAACGGCAACAGTATAAAGCACTTAAACAACAGCAACCGCTGACCAAAGACGCTGGTGGTGATGTAAAGGTGTGAGGGTAATTTTGCTGGCAAACTTTTAGGCCCCTTAGTACCCACTGAGCATCGATTAAACACTTCAGCCACCTGGGTATTTTTCCATGTCCATCCCTTTATGACCACGTCTTCTGTTGGCTGCTTCTAGTCACAAAGTTCAAATTGTCTCAAACTGATTTCTTGAACACTTGACACTGAGTTCACTGCACTCAAATAAGCTTCACAGTCACTAGATCTCAGTCTAATAGAGCACCCTTGGAATGTGGTGAAAGGGAGGAGTCACATGATGGATTTGCAGCAACTGTGTGACGCCATAATGACAAGATGCAAATCGCTGAGGAATGTCTACACCAGGGAGAGCTATGGTAGTTCTGACTGGCTCCAACCCAGTACTAGCAATGTGTACCTAATAAAGTGACCAGTGAGTATACATATCAGTTCTTTTTTTGGTGAACCTGCTTGTGTGAAATGTGACACTTCTACTGCTGCTTTTTGCTTAGAGTGAAGACACTGTAAGGGGGGAAAAAAAAAAAAAAACCAAATAATCATCCTGGGAGTGTAGGTCATTACATTAACCACTACTTGAAAATTACCAGGTTTGGCTTCCTGCTACAGGACCTAATATTTTGCAGCTGCCTGTCCTGTCACACACAACTGCACAAACTGAGAATCTGATCCCACTCTCTTCTTATATTTGGTGGAAAACAAAAGCCCAGAATATTTCTGTATGTACCTGCTGTCCTTGTCTGTGTTCTCTGTAATGAGGGGGATCCAGTGGCTCGTCACCTATGAAAACACAAGTAGATACGATAAAAGATTTTCTCAGTTCAGAGAGACATGATACCCAATTCTTTAGTATCACGCTGTCACACCAGAGTCTTACATATTATACAGTTCAGCTGATATACAAACTAAATATGGAAATTCTGGCAGCAGAGGAGCTCACCTTCTCTATAGACTTCTTGTTGTTGACAGCGTAGACAATGCAAATCACATTTGCCTACAGGACAGATCAACACATAAGCATTAAGCTTTTACATGAACCCGAAAACTTTTCACTGAGCAAAGCAAAATCCACAGACTCACCTTGGAAATCTCCTGAAATAACTGCTCATCCGTCTGCTCTGCCTCTGTGGAGGGAAGATGAGCTTGCTTAAGTAAAACAAGGATGCGCCAATTCTTTATTTATAAAACACACACGCACACACACAAAGTAATGTTCCTTCAAATACCAGAGTAATCCACAATGTGTGTGGGAACTCTCTCCGGTGTAACATCAGCCGGTATGGTAATTTCTTCAGCTCGATAGGGAACCTGGGATACAGAGATGTTTAGAGCTGGCTACAGAGCGTAAATAGCACAGTCAAATCAATGCAAAATAAGGTGAATAGTGGGCACGTTTAATCCCAGATGGGTACAGTAAGTTTCTGGCAAAACAGGAATGCATTCATACCACATCTGGGAACTCCTCGCTGACCAGTGACATGATGAGAGAGGTCTTCCCCACCTTGGCTGCAGATGGAGAGAAGGAGACATATTTAGTGTGTTTAGCAAACCCTCATTACTCATAAGCATAATGTATTATTATTACTGAGACACGTTTCTGTAGATGTTTAAGAAAATACAGGTTAGATGTGTGACCCATCAATTTTAGCCTTCATTTTTGAGGACACCAGATGTCCCACTTTATGGGAGCAACTTTGGAAGTCTGTCATTTCTTGTGCAGAGAGAAAGTTGCCAATCACTGGATGCACCTCTTCTGAAACTCAAAGATGACCACCAGTCAGATATCAGATAAAATAACAATAAAAAAATGGAATACGCAGGCGTACAAAGAGCATATACCAGACTGTTAAGTACTGTATTTAGCCTGAAACTGAGAAAACGTGTGGAGACAAAGTACTTCTTCCTGCACAGACATAACCCCAATGTGTAAAACAAAGCCCATCACATTCCAATAATTCAGATGCTTGAAAGGCTGTGATGTTACCTGATAGAACCCAACTTTCAAGGAGATAGATAGATAGATAGATAGATAGATAGATAGATAGATAGATAGATAGATAGATAGATAGATAGATAGATAGATAGATGCAAAGTGCAGTGAATTCACATGTATACTGTAGAGTACATGTGAAATTAGGGCAATCAGATTGCAATACCATCAAGAGTGTTCACCATCAAAGTGGTAAACTGAGGTTAGGTGAATAATAGAAAAGAAATTATCCGCCTAACTGCTCTAAAAAGCTACAGTGGGGGATAGCATGGCCAAGATAAGCTCCAATAACACATACAGACCTCTAAAGCACAAAGCAGTTGCAGAACGAGTGGCCTGAAACAAATACAGAGCTCATCGCGATGAAGACACTGCTCAGCATCACATGTCCAGCTGTCTGGCAGCAGCAGTGCAATTCAAAGTGTGCACTAAAAGGCTGACTCTGCAGTCAACAAACACACTGCAAACACAGCTTTATCTAAAGCCTTACTTACGCTCTCCCACTAATAATATCCTCACGTCTTTGCGCATCTTCCCCGGCGTCGTCAACCACGTCGGCAGACAGGTCTGTGTGCAACATTTATGCTCCTGTCTGTCTGGATGAAGGATACAGCCAGCCACTTCTACGCGGCCTGGCTCGCTTGCTAACAGCTACGTTCGCATTTCAGCCCCAGTCTGCTCAGCTTCAACGCAAACTCCACACGGTTAGAGAGAGCCCTACAAAACGCTGTTCTTCTTTCTTACTGTACTCTACCGTGCATACTGTCACACAGCCAGCAGGGAGCTCACACGAACAGCCAGATAACCACACAAACTTGACTGTTACAACACCATCGGCTGCTAGCTGTCGGCCACGCCCCTCCTCGGGTCAGCTGAGTGCGTAAAGCCGAGATGAGCTCGCGCAACACTTAAAAGCAAAACAAAAAGTCATGTAAAAAAATAAAAATAAAACTATCCCCCATGTACTTGACCAAGAAGTGCGGCATTAATCTGCGGGTTTGAATTAAGACAGGTGTGAGCTCTATCTGCGATATTTTTTTAGTACTGGGAAACTGGAGTGGAGTGAGAGATCTTACTTTTTCCTCTAGCTTTGAATTTCTGTCAAAAGGCGCTATCTGGAGGAAAAGAAAAAGCAGCACGTGCAAGTCTGAGGTATTAAAAGAGTGGCGGTTATGGTCTGTTTTTCTTTTTTAAGTCAAGCGGCGATACCTGCGTAATACATAGACAGAATAAGATTTATGGTAAGAAGATTGAGTTATTTCTTTTCTTACACACACACAGACTATGAAATAGACTTCTACCTTATACTGCAGGGGGTGATTTAGTTTTTTTTAAGGACATCGGGTGTTTATTGAGATGCTTTCGGCTATTTTGCCCTTGTGTGCATTAAGGTGGATTCCACACTCCATAAGACTCCATCACTACTGATTTCCAGTCCAGGCTGCATAATTTGGCAAACCTCAGCCTTTTCTCCCTGTTTCTCTTCCTTAAGAATGGCTTCTTTACAGCCACCCTTCCACTGAAACCATTTCTGATGAAGCTTCAATAAAAGGTAGATTGATCAACTGAAGGCCAGGTGTATCTCTCACATCCTGTGTCAGTTCATTGCTTGATATTTCTCCTATTTCTTAAGAACATGACTTTCAGATACAGTTCATCTGCTATAGATAGCTTCTTTTTTTTTTAGACCTGGCACTTCTTTTGTTCTCCATATGTCCAGTTTTCTAAGAACACACTGAACACTATTCTGAAATATGTCATGCTTCTGGCCACTAGCTCTTTGGTAATCACCTTGTTGATGCAAAAATACTATTTTATGTCATCTTGATGTATTCTCAATCCAGGTAAGTAAATCTCCAAAAGTTGATTCTGTTCATCTGGACGTAGTGTTTTCAGTGGGAGAAACGTTTCGTCATTCATCCAAGTGACTTCTTAAGTCTCAGCTGACTGCAGGTTCCCCCACTTTTACGTGAAAATGGAAAGACCATCTCTGAATCGAGGAGGGGGTCTAAGGGTACATCTTTCACCATCTTACAATGCTGTGATTGCAGCCATTCCCCAACTCTCTGTGAATGGTTCTCATGGCCATTGATCAGTGTTCTTTGATCAGTGGTTGTTGATCAATGGTCATGAGAATTTGCATAATCATAATCAAGAAACTGACCTCGCACCCCATTGTTCCTTCAGTGGGCTGGTTTCAGTCATAATGCACATGTACTGTTTATAAGATTGGGGAAACCTGCAGTCAGCTGAGACTGAAGAAGTCACTTGGATGAGTGACGAAACATTTCTCCCACAAAATGCTACGTCCAGATGAACAGAATCAACTTTTGGAGACTATTTTATGTCTTCTGTAACTTTGGCATTTTTCACAAACCCAGCTAGAGAAATGGGAACAAATGGTGTGTTTTTCTTAAACGCTGCTAGTAATGAAGTGCCTAAAGATACAATTTAAAATGGTCACTTTGCTAATTTGTCAGGTACAAGCAGCTGACTGAACATGAGTGAAAAAGCAGCCAGTGTCCAAAGAAAAACTTCAAAAAGTCTGGAGAACAATATTACTCAAGACCACAAAAAAGAAAGTCTGGCTCCTTGGGATGGGTCAGGACTTTCACACTGCACTATATATCTACTTTTGGTAGCCTATTAAAGTTTCTCTGTACTGCAAAACTGTCAAAACAGAAGATTTTCTGGTACACTTTCTTAAGCCTTTAGCATATCCTTGTGTATGGAAGAATCAAACTTTTAGATTGAAATGTTCACTTAAAATAATAATACTATTAAAACAGCTTTTAATAAGAGATGGAGCATAAAGTAAGTGTTTCTTTAAGGCTAGCAGCTAAATTACTGTAAACTAATTGATAAACAGTGATATGTGGTCCTGGTGGTTGTTGTGGTATTCCCATCAGCCCTGATGGAACCCGCTACTTAAAATCAAAACATCTCAACAGAGGCACATATGCCTCATAAAATGCCCAGCTGCACATATGTTACTGATGAGGAAGAAAGCCAGCATGTTCCCCAACAACTGGTTAACAAAAAAAGAAAGAAAGCAGTTATTTATCAAGTGTATTTAAATTATGAGTTTGAGAAATTCACAGACAGCTACAAACACAAAAAAGTATCTAAGTACATCAAAGTTAACAAAAATATTTACAAAATAGCCATTTCAGTCTTTATTTTAATAAATACAATGTCTGTTTTCAGTGACTTTATAATGTATTACAAAAGAACGCTGACATTAATTTCAACAAAAGTGCATCAAAATCAGGAGACATTGCTTTTAATGTGCGTGGATCTTACAGAGAAACAAAGTCTCTACGGTGACAGTAGCTTCTCCACATTGCAGACAGTAAGCGCCTTAGTCGGTCTGTGGTCCTGTCTCTAATTATGTTTCTAGCCACACAGGTTCGGGAGCGTCTTTGTGAGAAAAGCTTCAGGTCTGTTCTGTCCCCAAACGGTATTTTAATTTCCTTGCAAAAAAGGAAATGATTCATTTTCCTCTCCTCAGGTTGGCCTCATCTGAATATCGCAAAGAGAAAGAATTAGGAATGTTTGACAACCAAAGGAGCAAAGTTGATGCATTTTAACAACACACGGGACAACAAATTCCTACTAGAGTAGTCTTCTGGTGTCATGGGTTGAGAGATGACCTTTCTGAAAGCCATTATCCACTCGCTCTGCTCCTGCTCCTGCTCACACATAAAAACAAACTGCCTCTCCGGAGTCTCCAGTGAGATCCCGCAGCACCACCGGCTTCCCCTCGCATTGCGGCTGCTGGTTTCTGAAACAGAGTAGCCGTGGCTCTCTGTGCCGATGAAGACAGCACCCAGCTCTGTAGCATCCTAACAGTATAAATAAACAAGGTACAACTAAATAGGATCATTATGATTATTCATTGTATTTTATGAGCATTAGAATAACTTCTTAATATCTCCAATTAAAAGAAAAAAAAAGACAAATTTTTATGTTTCATTTATTTATGTAGGTGTTTCATTTTCACAAAGATATGAGCAACACAAAGATCTCTGTTCTTCATCTCTGTTCATTACCAGTGGAGATTTAAAGTATAGAAGCTTTCTGTTCATTGAGCACAGCGTGAACCAGCGCTTCTTGAATGGCTCCCGTTGCTGAAAACACATATAAACACACCAATCCAATTAGCCAGGCAGTTAAACTAAAAATAAGTAGACCCAGTAAATCCAGTTAAAAATTTTGGATAGTTCACAGACCGTCGGACCAGTTTTCTCCATGTATCCCTCCTTCAGGCAATGTGCTGTTAGCTGATGTTTTAACTGTGCAAAGAAACACCAACAAATACTGTGAGCTGAACAACAGCAGCAGCTCACAACCAGAATGATTCAACCGTGCTGACGTTGTGCGGGTTTGCACATTAAATGTAATGTGTTTAAATGGGGAGAGAACAAACCGAAATTATTATTGAATTTAACTGCCGCGAGTAGCATCATGTTTCATCTGATATATTTGTTCATGGAATAACAAGGCCTCGCCTAGCCATGTAACTGCTCTTCAGTCAATTGCCCAATTACTTTAGAGCATTTGAAAAGACTGTGTATAAAAATGGCTGTGATTCTTAAACAGTTCATACTAATTTTTTTGTTACACTAATTAAAATAAAGCTAGGGGTCTGCACTTCTATCATAGCCTGACTGTTTGGTTGAAAATCCATGGTTGTGGTGTACAGAGGCAAAAACAAATTCATTGTCCAAATATTTATGGACCTAAGTGTATAAATCCTGCCTGTGCTAGTTTTAAAGTGTATATTAAGTACAATAAAGACAAAGGAGCTTTCTCAAATGCTAAGACAAAAAAAAATTATATAAACACGTGGTACTAAAAACAGAAGACTTGTGGTTCAGCAGCAACTTTCTTGGGTGTGAAAGGTCATTTTAAAACAATCACTGAGCAAAAGCTGCGGCATTAGTAACAAAGACTTGCAGATATGAGCGGAAACTTTAAAAAGAACATTAAACAAGGCTTCGGTCGAGGCCTTGAAACCTCTGCACACTTTCTTGAACAGAAAGCCATTAAATTGGAAAGTTCTATGTAGTTAATTACAGAAAACGTTTGATGTATGAGGTATGACTTTGAGGTTGTATAATTTTACTTAGCGGCTTTTTGAGGATAGACATCACTAGCCTGAAGTAAGAGGGGTTTACATAGCTGATGACCTAATGAAAGTTTGTCTCACGTCTTTTTCTTGAAGAGTGGGGTTTTTCTTCAGGAGGTATGCCAAACGTGTTGCCCGAATAGCATTGAAAAAAGACACAATCACCTATAAGAGATCATAGACATAGGTTTTGCCAGGAAGAGTAATTGTCTCAAATAAGGTATAACTCTATGAATGTGGGATGGAAAAGAGCATGCAGCATAAATCTGGGAAGATGCCCTCACCTGCCCGTCCTCGTGGTACACAAAAAGGTTCTTTGAGCGTTCATCATCCACATAGGAGATCTGCAAACCGGTAGCATGACCGATCTTCTCTGGTTGGAAGACTGCATTCAGATCCTTCATGTTGATGACAGCTTTGGGAACCTTGGACTTGGTTTTAATGAGATGATTGAGGAAGATTAGAAAAAGAGGTATTTGGCCAGAGTCAACTGAAGAATGCTTATACAGCTGTAAACTAAACGGTCTTATGACTGAAGAACTGCTCACATCCTCTTTGATGAAGTATCTGAGGGTGAAGTCTTTCTGTGAGAGCAGGAAGGTGCTTTTAAAGAACTGCTTACTGTCTTTGCCTTTCTTCCATAGTGTTGCCTCAAACAGTTCTGGAGTATCAAACAGTTCAAAGAGGTGAAGCAAATAAACTGCAGGTTAGACTTTGATGGGAAAACA